CCAAGGAGGGTGTCACCCATATACTTTTATATAAAATCAGGGTATAAACTATAAATATAGAATAAAATTAAGGGCGCCAGTCTAGTTCTGCTATCAGCAATCTCCAATCTCTGACCTCATCTGTTTTAGTGTGGTGCTTTATTGATAATGAACTTATTACATCTGCTTATTGGGCCATCATCGTGACCAACTTGGTGGCAGCAGTGAGGGAGACTCTGATACAGGCACGGAGGAAAGCAAGGGGAGAACAAAAATTCAAATTTGGATCAGAGTTTGAGCATGTGGCTCCAGGGCTGCAAAACTGGGCAGTGTCTGAGAGTAGTAGGACTCTGAGAGGAGAAGTGACCAGATGGACTCAGAAATAATTGCTCACCCCAGCCATCCCCCTACACTAAGAGTATTACGTTTACGGGACTTCTTGTGTACTGCCTGAACCCACTCACAGGGGAGTCCCTGTTACTCTCTGCCAGGGACTGTGGAAAGCATGGAATCATAGGGCTCTCTCAAAGTTACAGCTTGGAGAATGACATTCTGGGGAAGTGGCCTGCAAAAGGACTACAGGTGGAAACCCAGAGTGCTGTCTGTGTCTGGAGGTGTCTGAGATGATCAAGGTGGGAGACTGGGGACTCCTGGAGAGAAAGCAGAGGAGAACATGGGATTTGCTGTGCAGAAAAAGGAAGAGGAAGCAAAAAGGTTCTGTCAGAAGTTAGGAGATGAGGAAGCAACTTGGACACCTACAGTTGAACTCAAAATGCAATATAAATGAATGTGTGGGTGCTTTGACTTGGTGCTTTTGCAAATGCACGAGTTTTAAAATTTTATTTTCTTCTACAATTTTCTTTTATATTACCATTTTCATTTTCTCTTTCCCTTCTCTTTATCTTGTCCTCTTTATCCTGTCCTTTTATCTTTTCTCCCTTTCCTGCTCTCATCTGACATAGATATAGATATGTAGGCAGATATAGATGTATATAGAAGAAGTGGCTATGAACGTAGATATAGATGATAGAGATAAAGATATGATATCTGCAAGAATTAACTGGAGCTTTAATTTAAATAGCACGTGTCATAGCCATGTCAGGATACCCCTCACCAAAATTGTGTGCAGATGATCCAATCATAAACTAATTGCCCAAAATTAAGTTATTCTGATAATCTCACAGCTTCCCTCAGTCTTTAAGAACACCTTCTTCTCTTTGAAACACTTCTCTTGATCTTACAAATCTTCTCTCAAGTCTCATCAACACTAACTCTATGTCAAAGTATAAAAATGATTCTAACAGTGTCTGATCTCCTATTTTTCACATACTGACATTTCTTTCATTCTCTTTTTACTCACTTGTTTCTTTGATTTTCTTCTTTCTTTTTCTCCTCACTACTTTCCTCATCTTACTTGGCTGGTACTAGTTTAATTCAGTCAATAAGGGACATTATTAAAAGAATGAAGTTGGTACAGTAAGTTCTAGTGTACATGACTGGTGTATATTGAATCTGTTTACATTGTTATACCAACAGAAATTCTGTCTTTGCAAAATTGTGACCAGACCTGATTTCAATAAGTAGAGTAGTTCAAAGACATAGATAAACATCGAAGAAAGAAAGCCAAGAACACATCACTGGAAAGTAGACACTAACTAGTGACCTCCATAATAGTAACAAAATCATTCTAATTGGTACTCAACCCTCAACATACACATGTGCGCACACACACATGCACACATGCGCACACACACTCACATACACATAAAATTATGAGAAAACAAATTGATAAAATTGTTCTCAACTCCCTTAAAAGATATCCAAGGGGCATCAATGATGATGAAAAAAAAAAACCAAGTTGATACAACTAAGAAGATAATAGATTTAATAAACAAAATGGTCAGAGAGCTTAAAGAAGATACTGTTAAAAAGCTATCTCTGAGGGAGGAAAATAAAAAGAGCTCTAACGGATATAACAGCAAGTGTGTTTAGGGGTGTTAAATAGCTGACTATATTAATGTTTTTGGATCATTGAACACAGCTGTTTGCAGTCTCTCTGTTTGAATGTCTACTTTGTATTCTTTGATACTGTGATTTGAGCAACTATTTCCAAGATGATAATATGTAATCTATTAACAGGTGATTTCTTACTGTTATGTTTTTTTTTTGTAGTTCTGTATCATGTGTAACCTTACACTGCTTTGTTTTGTTTTGTGTTTTTCTCTTTTTCCTCTTAAATAAAATAAAATAAAAAAATAAAAAAAACCAAAAAGCTATCTCTGCTAACTAAAATGATTCAAAACATGAATGATCAACTCAACAAAGAGTTACAGTCCATGAAAATGTGGCAAACAGGAATATGAGAGAGAAAAATTTCTAAAGAAAGTGAGGGGAAACAAGTGAGCAATGTGAGAAAAAACTTCAGAATGAGAAGTTAGGTCTGTGCATTTTACTATATACTCAGACATATCTTTAAAAGGTACACAGGAGATCAGGAGAAAAGAATTCAGCAGCTACCAGGTGACCCAAGAAAAGGATTAACCTAAGATTAGTTGGAATTGCAGAAATGTAAGAGGGCAACACAAATGGCTTAAGGAATATTTACAGAAGTCAGCAAAAAAAAAAAAAATTTACATGTAAAGAGAAAGAATTCAACATAGAGACAAATAAGGAATGTAGAACTCCAAATAATCATAATCAGAAAAAGAGTTTTTCATGATGCTTCATAGTTAAAATTCCAGAAGTCCAACACAAAGATAGAATTTTAAAAGTTATCAGAGAAAAACAGTGCATCACTTATAAAGTGATGATTTATAAAGGTAAAGGCTTTAGAATTACAGCAGACTTTTCAAGACAAACCTCAAAGACAAACAGAATTTGAAGTGATGTGTTTCAAACACTAAAAGAAAGTTTCGGCCCAGACAAATACGTCCTGCAAAACTGTGTTTTAAACACTTTCTATGACAAAGAACATGTTAAAAAAATTCCTGACCACAAACCAGTACCTCATAGAATTCTCAAGGATACCCCAGACAGAGAATATGAAGTGAGCAAAGCCAAAGTGTCTGATAGAATGAAAAAATAAGCAAGCAAGTTGAGTGAGCAGTTAGGCAAAGGGGGAAAAATAAAGGGATAAGCAATAGGAGAAAAAGAAAAACAAAATGTCAGAATAAATCAATACCTTTAAATAATTACTCTCAATGTAAATGGTCCCAATTACCTAATCTAAAGACACAGATTGACATATTTGATTTTTAAAAATATCCATTGGTAATGTCATGTACAAGAGACACATTTGATCCAAAAATTAACTCATACACTAAAAATTAAAGGCTGAAAAATAATGCTCCATGCAACAGGAACCCAAAAGCAAGCAGGAAATAAAATTACAAATATTAACAAGGCTGCAGGGAAAGAAGTTTCCTTCTACATTGTTTCTTGGAATGTAAAGCAGTTTATCACTATGGATGTCATAGCGAGATTCTTCAATAAACTTAAAGCAGAAATTCTGTTTGACACAGCTATTCTCCCTCTAGGCATCTTCCACAAACAGTAAAAGCTGTCAGGTATATAAGAGCATAAATACATATAGCCATTATGTAGGAGCAAAAATCGTAAGAGCTAAATCTTGGAAATGGCGAATATCCATCAACTGAAGAAGGTTATAAAGAATTATAAATTTGAGTCATTTATTGAAAAATTCATGCACTTGAAATTAGGTTAAGTGAAGGAAATCAGACATAAAAGCATAAATATTACATTATTTCTCTTACACAAGAAACACAAGTATAAATAATTTAAGAACCAAAAAAATGAAAAATATTATGAAACAGGAAGATAGATCTTTTGCAAATGGGAAGAGCAGCTAAAGATGGAGGAACAAAGAAGGGAACGGAGAACAAGAAGTTAAAAACATTAAGATGTACTGTGGACGGGTACCAAATCCCCACAATGAATGTCATCATTATGGGCACTAAAATATGGGACAATTTTTAAAAAGGAGAACAACTGAATGCAAAATGTGAGCTTGCATTTGATTGGCTCTTGATGAGTTTAAATACAAAGCACATTGGTGATTTAAATGGGATTTTTTCATAACTTTATTTGAAAAGCTTATTATCTAATATTATTGTGTCATTCTTAAATTTCTTGGGCATAAAACTATCTTGCTTATATAGAATGTCCTCATTTTTAGGAGATACATGTTACCACATGGAAGAATGAAGTGTCATGGTATCTGCAATTTATCTTCAAATGGTTGAAAAATTTTAAAAATATATTCTAAATGCAATGTGTGATCCCAGATAGGATTCTGTAAATGTAAAAAGACATTAGTAGGAAAAATGGTGAAATTTGATGAACCTGTAATTTAGCTAACAGTAACATAGCTCTGTTCATTACTTAGCTTGGAAACTTGAACCAAATTTATACAAGACGTTAACAGACAAAACTGGATGAAGGGTGCACAGGGGTCTGTACTACAGAGGTGACTCTTCTGTACATTGATAACTGCTGCAACAAAGTTTGCTAAAAAAATAAAATTCACTTAGTGAGTTCCCTGTAAACAGTAGCGTGTTACCAAAGTTATTCGCTGGAATAACAGCATCTACTTTTTTTTTAATTTTGAAGAGAATAAAACCAAATAAGACAAAACAGAATAGAGTCAATCAAAACAAAAGGCTGACCATGGTACATGATTTTAAAAAAGTATGAGGAGATCTACAATGGCTACCATAATGCCTCTTCACAAAAATTATCCATACCATGAAGCGTAATAAAATTGAATGAAACAGTACAGAATAAATCCAATAAAAACAAAACAATGGAGATAATATAGGACCACCAACCAGTATCCCATACAATTCTCAGGGATACTCCAGACAGCTTCTACTTTTAAAGATCTGGATGCTGATCAGATAACAGACCAGGAGCAGAACCTGACACATTGGAAGGCCACAATACTTGTGCCATTGGCTTCTTAATCAGCCCTCTATGTATTCTGCCTCTTGAAATGTCCCACAAATACAGTATTTTTGTCTTGTTTTTTGTTTTCTTTTGTGCTAAATATATGTGGGCCCCAGTGATAGCAAAGCAAACAACTCTTAGGAAAAAGAGGATATTTGGTACCAGATCTAAAAGTGGAACAAGCCTTCCCTTTCCTGCCGAGCAGCCTGGGGGGAAGAGCCTCAGGATCTCTGCGTGGAAGGCCTCCGCGTGTGCTGGGGTCTTCACCTTTATCTCCAGCAGATCATCTTTTCCAAATTTGCTTTTCAGTTGTTGGATGAAGCCAACACATCTGGAGCAGAAGCAGGAATGAAAAGTGGACAAGTGGAAAGGGAAGCATGTCTAAAACTATGCTCAAAACTGCTCAGTTAACCTCTGTCCTGTAGCTTTGGTTCCGCAGGTGGGTCACGTGCAGGCACTCACCTCAGGTGTCCCGACACCATGATGGCCACGTGGTCACACACAGCCTTGGCCTCTGCCATGTGGTGGTCAGGAGGTCCCCCCTCTGTGTTTCTAAAGGTGGCCTGGATTGCTTTCCTATACTGTCAAGGGAATATTTAATGATTAATGGAAGTCTTCTGATTCATTTGGAAATAGTGTAAAGGAAATTTCACAAGGCACAAAAGGAGAAATAACAAATCTAGAGGAAAAAGGAATCAGCAGGGATGAGCACATGCAATTCAGTTTAGACAGGACTATGGGGAACAAGTTTTTACTTTTATTTAGTTTGTAGTGATGGAGATCAAACTCAGGGCCAAGCACTTGTTAGCCAAGAGCTGTCTCACTGTGTCACATGCTCAACGCTAAATCAAAGACTTTAACTTAAGGAGAGATGTGGGGAAAATCTTGATGGAAGGGTACATGAAGAGAAAGTTTGAGCAAAAAGATGTGTGCATGAGAAGACTTATTAAAGTGAGCAGCACTTTAGAAGTGCCAGGATCTGGGTGGCTGAGAAATAAGACAGAATATGTCTAAATGAAAGTATTCAGAACCCCCAAACTCCAAGGCCAGCTAGGTGCCCCAGCTGTGAGTCACTAGTTACCATACAAACAGAACACTTTTATACAAAACAAGGTCACACAAATAGGTTAAATACCGAAAGAGTACTAAATTCTGAAAAGCTTATTTTTTTCCTTTCTGTGACAACTGGTATAAAGTATCACAAAAAGATTTTTTGAACCAAATATTAATTCCTAATTACATGGATAATTGTTGGGAGCCGCAGCCCCGAGCCCGGTCGCCTCACTTGGCGGACGTGAGGCCTGTAGTAAAGAGTAAAGCCTGAGGTAGATTACCCCTCCCATCGAGCACGTTAGTTTCCTGCTTACCGCGTAAGCAACCCGCTCAACAATATAGTCTGCCTGGCAACTGATGATGTTAGCCAATCAGCTTGCCTTGCTCACTTTAACATGATTGGACACTGTATCCGTATATATACTGGTGCCACCCCTGGGGGGAAGAAGAAGCCCGGAAGTAGAAGCCCGAAAGGAGCCGCGGGGAGCGGACCAGAGGAGGCTTCGGCTGGGAGCGATCCCAGGGCAGGCTGTACGGAGAAGAAAAATAAAAAGAAAAGGTTGTCCACTGCCAGACTTTGTCGTGTGTCCTTCCTGCCGGCCGGGAGCGGACATCGACATTTGGAGGTCCGCACGGGGACTGATCACCCCCGAGACGTGACAGCGGACAACGCTCCAGTACAGAGCTGCGAGACAGGTGAGTTGGGGATAAGCCTGGGCTCTGGGTGGCGCGCACCTACAGGGCTTTTAGACTCCCCTCAGGCTCACGCGTAAGTGGCGGATTCCTTGGGCCTCACGCGGTGAGTAACATATTAAAAGATGGGAAACATGCTAGGTAGCAACACTAAGAGCGAGGGTGGTTGTGGAGAAAGCTCTCAAGAGCTTACAAAAGTACGCAGGGTATTTGAGCAGGCCCAGTCGGGGAGCTCCCGAGAGGGGCCCGTCAAGGGGAACAAAGATGCTAAGGAGAAGGACGGGGCTCTAGCCTCGGAGTCGTCTGACTCCGAGGACGAGGGAAAGTTGAATGGCAAGGAGGCCAAAGAGACCAGCTGTCAGGAGCCTAAGTCGCTCGATAAGGAGTCGCAGGGTTCTTTACCTTGGGGGCTGTTCCCGGAAGCGATCCCTCGCCACGAGGCGGCCGCGTGGGAGCTCCCTCCCCTTTCGCCAGAACAGGAAGTGATGCACGGGCCCCCATTTTCCGCCCAATCACGGCCGCCGTCTTATGCTCCGCCGCCGGCGGGTCGGTATTTTTACAGGCGGCTTTGGCAGGGGGGACGCTTGTCTCATGAGGTACATCCACTTGGGATAGATAGTGGCCCCTACGGGATATTTCCTGTACAAGTAGCTATGGGCCAGGGACACAATGCATGGGAGCCTTTTGAGATAAAGCAGATTAGAGAACTTAAAAATGCAGTTACAACCTTTGGGCCGACTGCGCCTTACACCATTGCCATGCTGGAGAATCTGTCTTCTGGGCCCCTCACCCCCGCGGACTGGATTCAGCTGGCAAAGGCGTGTCTGCCCTCGGGCAGTTACCTGGATTGGCGAGCCTGGTACGCAGAGTTCTCTGCAGAGCAGGCTGAGAGAAACGCCAATCGGGGAAACCGGGGGTGGAACAAGGAAATGCTTATGGGAGAAGGTCGGCACGCTGATGATCAGACTCAATTCCCCGGCGCTGTCTATGAACAAATCAATGCCATAGGGCTCCGCGCCTGGAAGCAAGTAAGTGGTGCCGGAACAGCCTCCTTGTGTCTTTCAAAAATAATTCAGGGTACCACAGAGCCATTTGTTGACTTTGTGGCCCGAATGCAAGATGCTGCCGATAAGATATTCTCTGATCCGGGAGTGGCTCGACCGCTGGTAAGGCAGCTGATTTTCGAGCAATGTACAAAGGAGTGCAAGGCAGCGATAGCTCCTCATAAGAACAAGGACCTCAACGCCTGGATTAAAATATACAGAGAGATAGGGGGGCCGCTCTCCAACTCGGGAGTGGCTGCTCTCCTGGCCGCGGCTGTACAGCAGAGGGGACCTCGCGGGTTAGAAGGGAAATGTAAGGCTAAAGGGTGTTTTGCCTGCGGGGAGCCAGGACACATTAAACGTCATTGCCCAAACAATACAGATGCTAGGCCTCGCCCTAGGAATGAAAAACCATATGTTTGTGGGCGATGCAAGAAGGGATCACACAAAGCTGAGGAGTGTAGGTCGGTCTTTGATGCTCAGGACAACCGTATTTGTGGACGAGATGCTAGAGGGCCAAAAAACGGCCAGAGGGGGCCCCCTTCACAGGCGGGCCCCCGCCCCAGAGACAGGACAGCTCAGGATGGCAGCCTTCAACAAGGGCCACCCCTGGGTCAGCAGGTGTGGACCTCAGTGTCGCCTCCAGACTTATACAGAAGGTCACCATTAGGACGGATGGCGTTAGGACCCTAAATGACATGCAAAAGCTATTGGGAGACATTAATTAGATTAGGCCATATTTACATATACCAAATTCAGATCTCAAACCTCTGTTCGACCTTCTGAAGGGAGACCCAGATATAGCCTCCCACAGGAGGCTCACTCCTGAGGCAAGAGCTGCCTTACAGAGAGTAAAAAAAGCCTTAGGTGGGGCTACCTTACACAGAATTGAACCAGGGCGACCCTTTGATGTCTGTTTGCTACAGACTAGTCTACAGCCCACAGCGGTGATTTGGCAGAAAGGACCACTACTGTGGATACACCCTAAGGTCTCACCTACAAAAGTCATAGAGCATTACCCGGAGGCAGTCGCTTCATTGGCCCTTGAAGCGCATGATAGAGCTGTCCAACATTTTGGCTCAGGACCACAAGCCATCCGAGTACCCTATACCGCCAGCCAGATCAAGACCCTGGCTGCCTGCATAGATACATGGGCCATTCTGAGATGTGTTTTCCATGGAGATATAAACAATCAATACCCTAAAGACCCTATCTTGTCATTTGTCACTCAGCACCCTATAATTTTTCCAAAGGTTACTGCCTCTGAGCCATTAGTCCCAACAACTACAATATACACAGATGGCTCCAAGACGGGGATAGGCGCCTATGTGATCCTAGGCAAGCCCCCGGTTACCATACAATTTAAACCAGATCAGCCTCAGGTGGTAAAACTGCAGATCGTTAAAATGATTCTTAAACGGTTCTCAAAACCCATTAATATTGTCTCCGATTCTAGGTATGTGGTCAATGCTATGCAAGTGCTTGAGACTGCCGGTTTAATTAGATCCACTTCCACAGTGGCTGGGCTGTTCCTGTCTATCCAGACATTGCTTCAAAACAGACACCATAAGGTCTTCACCACCCACATAAGAGCACATACATCCCTGCCAGGGCCTATGGCACAGGGGAATGCGGCTGCTGACACTGCCACTCGCCCGTTATGGATTTTTACCTTACTAACACCAATCGAGCGAGCCCGTGCCTTCCATGATAAGTTTCATGTCAATGCCAGGACACTAGCAAACCATTTCCATGTTTCCAGAGCAGATGCACGAGATATCGTGCGACTATGTGACTCCTGTGCCACATACAAACCTGCCATACCGATGGGAGTAAACCCTCGAGGTTTGATCCCTGGTGATGTTTGGCAGATGGACATCACACATATACAGGAGTTTGGGACTCTTAAATATGTTCATGTTTCCACAGACACCTGTTCTCACGTCATATTTGCAACAGCAGAAACAGGTAAAAAAGTGTCTAATGTGATCAATCATTGCCTGGCGGCTTGGGCCGCATGGGGCAAACCAAAAATATTAAAAACTGATAATGGACCAGCCTATATAGGCAAAGCCTTCAATGAGTTCTGCAAAATGATAGAGGTTCAATTAAAACATGGTATCCCATACAATCCCCAAAGTCAAGGAATCATTAAAAGGGCTCATAGAAGCCTCAAAAAAATTTTACAAAAACAAAAAGGGGGAGTAGGCCAAGGCCTGGCCCCAAAGGCACGATTATCCATGGCACTATTCACACACAATTTTTTAAATTTAAATAATGATAATTGCTCCCCAGCTGTGGAGCACTGCAACCCTTCCCCCAACCATAAAGGGTGGGTGAAGTGGAAAGATGTCCTGACAGGACAATGGATGGGCCCGGATCCAGTGGTCAGCTGGAACCGAGGCGCGGTTTGTGTTTTCCCACAGGAATCGGGACGAGAACCACTGTGGGTACCGGAGAGACTGACACGGGCAACAAAGCCCTCGACTGAAGATCAGACCTGCCCTACCGGAGATCCATCACGGACCAACCAACAAGATAAATAAAAATAGCGGTAGCCCAAAATGGACAAGAAGATCCTCAGGCATATACATGGCTCGCTCGCCTAGCCTACGACCGAGTCTAGGGACGGTGAGCTTCCCACACTCCTCCTCTAAAAAATTATGACATAGCTGGGTAGGAGAGTCAATGACGGGTAAGAGCGTACTCCCCCGGTGCGACTCAACCTAAGCCAGGCCCTACCCCATCCTGCACGTAAGCCGCTGGACTGTTAGATGCTGCCCAGGTCTAAATTTCTCTCCGAGGGGATTTCTTTACGGAGAGGAAATGAGTGCAAGCTTGTGTGCATCCAGGTTCCGTCCAGTTTGTGCCTGGCCCTAGAAAAAGGACGAGGGCCTCAGGGCCTTGACAGACCATGGGACGGCCGACCAGGGTCTAAGCCAAGGACCTACGGTGGGCCTACACATAGGGCATAAGCCTCTGCACCCAGTCCAGAAAGGGCTACGATGCACACATTCATAAAAAATAAAAAAGGGGGAGATGTTGGGAGCCGCAGCCCCGAGCCCGGTCGCCTCACTTGGCGGACGTGAGGCCTGTAGTAAAGAGTAAAGCCTGAGGTAGATTACCCCTCCCATCGAGCACGTTAGTTTCCTGCTTACCGCGTAAGCAACCTGCTCAACAATATAGTCTGCCTGGCAACTGATGATGTTAGCCAATCAGCTTGCCTTGCTCACTTTAACATGATTGGACACTGTATCCGTATATATACTGGTGCCACCCCTGGGGGGAAGAAGAAGCCCGGAAGTAGAAGCCCAAAAGGAGCCGCGGGGAGCGGACCAGAGGAGGCTTCGGCTGGGAGCGATCCCAGGGCAGGCTGTACGGAGAAGAAAAATAAAAAGAAAAGGTTGTCCACTGCCAGACTTTGTCGTGTGTCCTTCCTGCCGGCCGGGAGCGGACATCGACAGATAATATTTGCTATTCTAAAAAAAAACAGTTTGAAAGAAAGTTTTTGTTTTGTTTCTTTGGTGTGTGTTTAATAATATTAACAAAATCTAAACATCTCTCATAGTTATCAGCACTGGCAGCCCGGCTCCTCACCATATCTGCTGCTGGCCCTTGGGCTCCATCTCTCTGGAGGGCCCATCCAGAAGCACCACTGATGGGGCAAAGCACAGCTGGAAGGAGAAGGACGGTGGTTGGCACTGGCTGCTGAACACGGGGACCACACCAAACCTTTGCCTACCTTTCTCTGTATTCCCTCCGGCAGGGTCTTCAATGGCGCCTGCAGCTTGAGCGCCTTCCACCAACCTGAAGGGAACACAGCAGAGCTTCACAGTCTGCTCCACAAGGGAGGTGCAGGAGGACAGACTGAGAGAGAGAGAGAGAGAGAGAGAGAGAGAGAGAGAGAAAGAGAGAAAGAGAGAGAGAGAGGATTTGGGAACAGAATCTAGAATGCAGTTCAGGAAACACTGCTCTGATTCTGGCAACTGATTTGATCCCCCAGGGAGATACAAATTGCATCTTTTAAAACTGTAAGCACATCTCATGGTGTCCAAATAATTCTTGTGCACTCCCTACCTCGTACCTAAATTCTAAATGCATTCAGCAAGTTTGATCATCGGATATGTACTTTTATCTTCAAATGAGACAAGGGGTGGGGGAGAAACTGTGTAAGTCAGCTGAACTCCAAGTGGATCAGTACTTAGAGTTGCCCATCCTAAGCTTCAGAGACCATCATCACCCCCAGGGCAGTTGACGGTCCCTGGGTGCAGAGCAGGACAGGCATGGCTCCCTGTGTATCGTGAAATGGCCACCAGAGTGTCGGCCTTGCTCAGCCCCCTCATAGCAGCAAACACCTCCAGGTGTTCCCTCACTGTCAGGTTGGGCCACAGCACATTCTCCTGAGGACAGTACCCCAGGAACCCCAGGGGGTCAGTCTCACTGTTCCTCCCAGTCGCACCTATGGACAGATGGACAGCGGGCACTGTCAGAGCCTGCATCTGCAGCGCTCCCCTTAGTATTTCTGTGGTGCATTTCTCTTTATTAGTTCTGGCTATAAGCTAGCAAGGGAGAATGAATGCATTCAGAGGATGAACACACAGACCCAAGTGCATGCAAAGATGTCACATTAGTCCGTGTTGAAAAATGCATTTAGATGCAAATTAAAACCACAATATAATATCACCCACTACCTGTTAATAGTAGCTGTTATCAAAAAGACAGTGACCAAGATGAATTTGTACCTTTAGGCCAACAGGACTATGGACTTTTCTGGGGAGGGAACTTTATGTTTTAATTTTTAAAATTTAAGTATTCTGATTTCAAAGTGCATATTTCTCAACTAAGGACAAAGCTTTCCTTAATGGTCACATATTTCAGACACTTGAGCAAATATTGGCATTCCTTACATCAGACTGCAGAAATGTACAGCCAACCAAGGTGGAAGGCAGGTGGACTAAAATACTGATCCAAAACTGAGATATAGCTCTAAAGAAATCAATCATAAGAACCATGGAAACCAGAGTGAACTAAAAGAAAAATAAATATCTACGTTATGTTACTCTTTGAGTCAGTATATTTTCAAATTTGAGATCATGAGCAGATTTTATGAGTTTGACATCTGTTTCATAAACCAAGATAAAATCAATATTATCATTATCATTTCCTCCGAGGCTTCAGTTTCTTTGATTCAACTATGTTAAAAGTGGACATACTTCAGGATCTGATGTATAGATTAAGATGTTTTACTTTCTGTTTTAATTACAGAAAGACAAAACTAAAGTTGGAATGAGTGTCTTTAGTGACAAAACTTTAGTAAGATACAGGCAATCATTAAAGGGAAATAGTTTTGAAATCGAATGAGAACAAAAATGAAAAATTAGAGAGGACTATTTTCTTAGGTGTATAAACAAGAGAAATATAAGCATATAATGAACCTTTAAGTGACATGGGTACAAATATTATAGTACAGAGTTCAAAGATGAGATACAGGCACATGACAGACACATGTTGACTGCTTCCAAACTACTGTACTGACCCCTGAGAAGTCCTGTGCTGTCTCTTATTTTAAATAGTCATTTTCATGGTGGTCACATGACAGTTCCTAAAACTGGATCTCTGATTATATTCCTATTATAAAAGCTTTCACCTTTTCCCATAAAAAAGACAAATGCCTTCAGAATAAACTGGTGAGTATATCACTTAAGATTAGCTTTGGATCAACCTACACATCCATTGTAGCTAGGACACTTGGGTTTTGCCTTGTGTCGTATGCATATGCCACCATGTCTTTACCATTTCTTAGGGTCAGCCTGACTTGTTTTTCCTTCTTGTTTTTTTCTCACCCATTATTTTCTATTTACATCATACTTCTCTACCAATTGAAATGTTTTTCTTCTTTAGGAAATCTTCTTAGCATGCAATTTATTTTCAGAAATTAGCCTTGCACCAATGTCTGAATTTCATAGTTTTTTAAATCACTGTATAGATGTTCTACTTCAGTATAGTATCATACTGTATAAATAATTATGTGTTTATCTATTTGTCTGTAAGGACTCTTTGAAGGTAGATACTGTGGATTTTATAGCTCGTATGACTCATTAGTCTCAAAGCCTGGCACACAGGGGAAGTCAACAAATATTTGTTAAATGATAATTTATTTGGGATATTTAAAAAACACTGAAAGTTAGAAAATATGTATATAATTTATACATATTTTGCCTCCTAATTTTATGGGGGTAATTATGATCTTTATCAAAGGGTTCTTTTTTTTTTTTTTTCTTTTGTACCAAGGATCAAACACACAACCTCGTGTTTACCAGGCAAGTGCTTAAACCATTGAGTTAAATCTTTGGCTCTCAATTTGACTCTCAATTGGCTCAGATTTTAAATGAGAAACTGGAGAATGAGTTTTAAATTTTATCCCTTTTACTAATACTGTTTGTAATTTTCTGAATCTTCCTAAGGTCCTTTAGACCCCTTTTCCCTAAGAAGAATATTAAAATAATTTTCAGGTTTCCTTCAAACTTCAAATTTTATGGTTTAATAATCAATTTGAATGTTTAAAAAAGAACAAGGTAGATATGGAGAAAAAAAGCATACTTAAAATATAAGTACCCACAATTATGCCGTGCAATACCACAATGATAACCAGAAAAATAGTAGAGGTATTTTTAAGTTTGATACTAATTTATTTTATGTGTATCAAAATTGATAAAGTGTTAGCTCTTAATGTCATCATAAAAATAAACACATAGTAGAGATGCTTACAAGATAGAGGCAAAATGACCAGATGCCACTATTTTTTCTTCCACTATGAAAAATGAATGAAATCACATATGTCATGAAGAAATATAAAAAAACATACCTGGCAGGACCAACTTTGTCAGAACTTAGTACATGAGTCAAAGCTTCATGGCAAATTCTGAATCAATAAAAAGTCCATTTCAAGATGCTAGGAATTCTTTCCCATGTTCTGATTTTGCTTTTGCATCACTCCCTGACCAGCCTGGAATAGTCTAGAAGATGGCACCTTGTATTTTCAATGTAGGATGTTGGTTCAGACAGAACACAGCTAACCTTATTTTCAAATTTCTGTAAAAATTTGACCTAATCTGTTTCAGAATTATCTGAAGGACAGGTTCAAGCATCTGTTCCTGCTTCAGCTAATGTAAATTCATTCAGGGTAGAAAAGTGAGAAACATTGCTCAAGAAGAATATAAAGCTAAGAAATCTTCTGTAGCAGTCTAAAGCAAAAACAGAATAGTTGAGCCATAAAACAGATCATTCTGAGTCTATGAAAGAATTTTAAGGAGCATTTTATTGAGAAATAAGAGTGCTGAAAAGCTTCTATATGTACCAAGATATTTAGAAAGTCACACACATACTCAGGCACCATGTGTACCCATGAAAAAATATGAGAATGGGGGCTGGGGATTTGTCAGCAGCATAAAATTCTTGGTTTGCATGGCTGGCTAATCTTTAGACTTCATGCAAGCTCGCCTAGGTGTTGGAGAAGTTCCAGCACAGAGCTTATCTGTGTAGGAGAGAAGATGTTTTTTGGGGGGCAGGGGATTTAGCTCAGAGGCATAAGCACCAGTCTTGCAAGCTCGTGGTCATGAGTTAAAAAAAAAAAAAGATTTTTTGAGTCTCTGCTTCTCAAGGAAATCTCTTGCAAAAACACTAGTTGAACTTGATAAAGGAACAGAGATTTCAGTTACCACATACAACTGAGTATACAATCTGTAATGATGTTTTGGAAAAATATTCTAACCCAAAGGTGAAACAGCATGCAATAACTAAAACTAAAAAAAGTCTAAACAAAGGAGGGAACCTGTTATCTAGACTTACCATATTAGATATTCATATGTCCGTATTTTCCCCCCAAATCTAAAACAGAAATAGAAAAATGCGTCCTGTATTCAAAGGAAGAAAATAACAAAAATAGTATCTGAAGAAGTCTAGATATCGAACTTACAAAATAACAACTTTAACATAATTATATTATATGATTTCAAAAACTCTGAAGGAAAACATAGGAAAGAACTAAAGGAAATGAAACAAACTATATGTAAAAAATAAAGTACCAATAAAGAAATATAAATTATAAGAATGAACAGAAACAGAAGTTTAAGAATATATACTGAAGTTAAATATATACTGATACAAACATTTCACTGAAGATGTCATCAGTATATTTGATCTGGAAGCAAAAAACCCCAACAAACTTGAACAAAACACCTTTAAAATTGTTCAGCCTGGAGAGTAGGAGAAAAAGAAAATACAGAAAAATACATGAAGCTTAAGAGATCTGTGAAATGCCAATATATACATCTAGAAAGTTCCAGAAAAAGTAGGATGAAGAAACAATAGCTGAAACTTGTCCATAGTTCATGAAACACATGAATGTATACATGTAATAGGAACTCCAAATAGAAAAACAAAACTCTCATGCCGGAACAGCTCAGTCTCAACTCTGTATCCCAACTATTGTCATATAAAGACACAAAGAGAATCTTGAAAGTAGCAGAGGTAAAGGACTCATTATATATGATGGACCATTAATACAACTGATAGTTTCTCATCAGATATGATAGAGACCAAATGACATATTTAAAAGACTGAAAATATAACCATTTTAAGCAACAATTTTAAATTGTCATTGCCTTAAAAAAGGAAATGAGAATAGGAGGAAATACTTAATGCTTTATGCTTAATGAGCACAAAGTCTTCGCAAATTTAAATATATAGTTTTCACTTTTCACCAGTTGAACATATTTTCTAATTTTCAATGTGATTTCTTTTCTGATCTATCATTATTGAGAGTGTAGTGTTTAATATTCAGATATTTCA